TGGTTCTTCCTCCCCAGGTGCAGTACCTTGCACTTGTCAGTGCTGAAACCCATCCTGTTCTCATCCGCCCACCCGTTACTTGTCCAGATCTAATTGCAGCCTGTCCCTCTCCTCTAGTGTGCCCACTTCTCCCCACATCTTAGTGTCATCTGTGAATTTGAACAAGGTGCTTTTCACCCCCTCATCCAAGTCACTGATGAAGATATTGAAGTGAGGACCCGAGGACCGAGCCCTGGGGAACCCCACTGCCAACCTGCCTCCAGGTTGAAAATGACCCATCCACCACCACTCTCTGGGTGTGGCCCTCCAGCCAATTAGTGACCCATCTGACCGTGTAGGCATCGACACCATAGTCGCCTAATTTTTTAATGAGAATGTGGTGAGAGACAGTGTCGAAGGCCTTCCTAAAGTCCAGAAAGACTACATGCTTGTAGGTATATGTGTTCATGCATATAGAATGCTATACACATACGTTTTATACAGTATACATACACTTTAACACCCATATCATTCATAACTTATAACTAGGATAATAGATTTTCACCATAATTAAAACCCCCCACCTCAAAGAACCCCTTGGGTTTGGGGAGATGCTGGGGGACTACATCAAATTTAAGCATGCTTTGCCTGAACTTTGTCTTTCAATTAAAACAACTGAAGAATGATGGACTAAAAATGGTGCTTATCTATTTGTCTCTAATATTACCATTACCTGAGATTTTGTGGAAAAGGCTTGTAGAACTGTAAACATAGCTGAGCAAAAGATGCTGCGCCTTTATTGTTATGATTGTACTAGCCAATTGCCTATCAGGAATGATGTAGGGGTTGAGGGGCAGGTGGGGATGGAGTGCCACCACCCACCACCCCACGCTGCCACCGCCTCCCAAGAGCGGGGGGGTGGGAGAGGGAGGGGAACCTTGCTCCACCATCCCCTCCATCCCCCTTGACAAGCACCCTGTGCCACTGCCTGATCTGTCCGCTCCATCACCACCACCTCCAGGGAGCAGGGCTGGGTGTGGGGGGCCAGACCAGCGCTGCTGGCCTTGCCTCCCTGCTCCGTCCCCATCACGCAATGGCAATGCTCTGCCATGCCACTGCTGCTGCTTCATGTCCAGAATGCTTTTGGAGCACTCTGGTTGTTTCAGTAACTAATCACAGTGCTCCAAAAGCATTACAGAGAGACAGACAGATGGTCTAAGCCCTTTATTATATTAGATTTATAAAAAATATGGATGGATGGTGAGATGGATATATGGTGGGATATGTGGTGAGAAAATCAGATACTTTTGTTTTTTGATATGTGAGTGAATATTAGACATGAGGCTGGAGAAAAGCGTACGTCAGAGGGAGAAAAAGGTTGAGACAGAGAGAGAGATCACTTTAATTCAGGTATGCGTTTGGTATCTTGCGAATAGGCTAAAGGGAATTCAATAAAGAGTGTATAAAAATTAAAGATTCTACGTCATCAATCAATAATGCTGTATGATTGCTGTATGTATTACAAAGCTTTTTTTGGACACAAAACCTTAAGGATAGAATATTCAGAATTTCTTCCAAATGAAGCTAGTGTGGATTATTTTAGAAAAATATATTTTTGTTGAAATATGTTGTTTTGTCCAAGTGAAACTTTTTTTGGAAATTTGTTGATTTCAGTGAAGTTTTTAACTGGAGGATTTCTGAGCTCTAGGGCTCTCTGATCAGAAAGGATGGGGAGGGGTGGGGGGAAGAAACAGAGAGAGAGAGAGAGGACTTAATTTGAAAACAGACCTTTTAAACCTGCAAACAGGCATTTCATATAATTCCATTTTGCAAAGATGTGTCAAATGTTTTACTTTTATTCCAATGTGGTACAAAAACAAATAGCAAAACTTTGACATTTGCTATAGAATGGAATTGTCATCTGATAGCCAACTCTACTCCTAGGCTTTCCCAACTTCATTTTCTCCTCTCATTTCTTCCTCAGAGAAATTCAGTTATTCATGAATAGTTCATTTGATTCAAGGGTTGGGGAGAAACCCAAGCTAATTTTATTTACCAGAAACAGGATTTTGCTGAGTGCTTTTAAACACAAAAACATTTTCCCCGACAAGCATGTTTTCTTACAGCATTCTTTCTTTGCACAGAGCTTTCCTGTAGCGCAAAAGTCAGTCTCACCTATAAACCAAAAACAATAGGATCCTGTTTAAAGGGATACTCACTTTTTCCTCTGGCGCACAGAACTATTGGACCAAATTCTGCTGCTGCTTACTCCAATATTCTCTCTTGGTTTGCACCCATGTAAGTTAGATAATGCTATTTTCACTCATGTTAATGAAAACTAAGCAACCCAATCTGGGTTGGAGAAACATTTTATTAAAGACAACTAGTTTATCATAACTGTTATATAGTAATTGAGCACCAGTGTTGTCCTCTCCACTGCAAATAAACCATATGTAAAACCCCCCAAATCTCTTCCCTTTATCCAAAGCCCATTAAAGTCTGTTAGAATTTTTCCATTAATTCCAATGGGTTTCAGAAATTTCTTGTTGATATCCATGGTTACTTTCCCAGGAATAGTTCACATGCCACTTCTAGACCTTTTTTGCTTCAGGAATATAATAACACTAACATGTCATATAGTCCAGATCCTTAATTATGGCGTTGATATGTGACTGGAATTCAGTAGGCAAGCCCAGGGGCGGAGGCACCCTAATTTGTTGTGACTTCTTATCAGTTCGGTGGTGATCGAGTGACTAAGGTGTCCGGTTATAGCTCCAGAGACCTGTGCTCTAGTCTTGCTTGGGGCTTTCCTCAAAGGTTGCCCTCTGTCCATCCAGATGCAAATGGATACATGTCATTCAAGCTGGAAAGTCAGAGGCAGCTTGATGTGTCGCTAGCCACATTGCTCTGTTAAGTGCTGTTACTTCCAGAAGCTCATGCACTCTGCTAGCCCAAAGTGCCCTTGAACTACCAGAAGTTTTTTCTTGAGCAATCAGGGCTTACCTTTGAAACTCATACATATATCAGTGGATTTGCAAAGTTGGGCACTGCCTATATGGGTTAATATGATAGATGTTTTAATAGTAACTTAGTATTGGCTAGTCAGATCAGTAAAGAAATCCATTTGATTTTTTGGGATAAATTCTCAGGCTTATACTTCTAAACATACTGCTTTCTGTTATGAAAGCACAATAGTATCTATGTGAAAATGTTGAATATCATGGGCCCGATCATGGGGCCTGATCATATTCAGTGGGCCTAATCCAGCGAAGTGGCCGAGAGCAGGGAGGGGCGGGGAGGGGGAGTAGAAGGCCGATCCAGGTTGGTGGCTCTCCCACTGCCCAGCAAGGTTCCCTCCTCTCCCCATGTCCCTGGACAGCAGTGGCGGGGGATAGGCAGGTGGATTTCCCTTCCCTTCCTGCTCCCCTGGGACAGTGCTGGCAGCCAAGGTAAGCTGTGGAGGAAGACGGGGAGGGGGGTGAGTGGGGATCTGGGGTGCTGAGGGGACAGGGTACAATGGGCCTAATCTGGGGGGATGGGGGTCAGCAGGGCAATCTGGGCTGGTGGCAGATGAGGACAGGGGGCTGTTGCCTGATCAATGGGGTTGGGGGGGCAGCAAGCCTGATTTGGGTCAATGGGAGAGGGGGTGCGGGTGAGATGTTTACATTAATGTGTAGCCTAGAGTGGCTACATGTTAGTGTAACACCAGCTGGGTAACTTGGATCAGAGATAAACCTAGGGCTTTGTTACACATTAATTTTAGGTGGCTTCTGGAGCTTTTAACCCTTGGATTACCCACACATTAATGCTTGAAACTAGTTTTATGCACACTTTAGGTGGCTTAAAGTTACACCACAGCAGGGCAAGTTTATCTCTAATCTGTGGTACCCAGCTTGTGTTCCATTAATGTGTAGCCACTCCCTACAGATGAGTTGCCCAAGTCCTCCAATATCCCAGGATGCAGTGTTTCCTCCCCTTCTGTTCTGTATGGATAGACTTTCCACCCCTGAACTCTACTGCCCACAGAGTAGTTCTGGCACCAAGCCAACTCGCTTTCTGACCCCCAGGGATGTGACTTTCCTACCCCCAGTGGTGCAACCCTGTGCAAATAGTCTGCAGAACACATGCCTGCTAGTCTGGTCACAGGGCATGGACAGACCCAGGAGTCTAGCGGGGCTGGGAAAGAACAAGGTGAGGGCCAGAACAGGTCCCAATAAGCTGGGGCTTTCTTCATGGGCAGGGGGAGTAGCTCCCCTCAAAAATGCCTTCCTTCACCACTTCCATCTCTCAATTACCCTGTGAAGCATGACCAGTTTACCCCAATCCCAAATGCCAATTTACTAAAACATAAGACCTTCTTTAATTTACATTTTTATAATAAATTCTTTTTTTTTTAATGTCTTTTTATTTTATCCTTCAGTGGCTGACTTCCTTCATTTCACCACCTTTCTCCCATCCCCATTTCTCTTTAACCTCCCATTTCATTACCCACCCTCATCCTATTAACTCTCTGCCTCCCAGCTTCATGTTCCACCCTTTCCTTCTACAACCCATCCCTTTCCCACCCCCCCACCGCAGAGATCGAAGCCTGTCCTGGTTCACCAGCCCTGTAGTGGCAACTCAGCTGTAGCTCCTAGTCAGGCCCCTGCTCACCAGCCTCCTAGTAACAAGTTACAGCTGTGCAGGTGGGGGACAGTCGGAGAAGGTTTTTAGCCTTAAGATAGGCTAGATATCAGGAGGTGCTACTTCATGGTCAGGGCAGCTAGGATCTGGAACCAACTTCCAAGAGAAGTGGTGCTGGCTCCTACCCTGGGGGTCTTTAAGAGGAGGCTAGATGTATACCTTGCTGGGGTTGTTTGACCCCAGTACTCTTTCCTGCCGTGGCAGGGGGTTGGACTCGATGATCTGCCCAGGTTCCTTCTGACCCTAGAAACTATGAAACTACATGACTACTTCAAACTCAAGCTAGCATTGACACTGATAAACAGTTGAGCAAGCCAAATTGAAATGTGCAACAAGGCCCCTAGTCTAGAGTGGCATAACTTTAAGAAGCCTAAAGAGTACTTAAAACTAGTTTAATGTGTTAATGTGTCGATAATCAAGTGGTTAAGAGCACCAGGAGCTGCCTAAAATTAACACGTACAGGTCGTTGGGCAGAACTGATGAATTTACTGAAATGTAGTGATGCTGCACACTGAGTACTGCTGGCCAGATAGGAAGCCCAGCTTCTTTGTGGAAACTGTTGTTGTGACTGGTAAAAGAGCAGTGGAAAAAGCTATTGAAGTAATGGTGATAGGTTGGACCACTGTGCAAACTCCCCATGCCATCCTCCCATGAAGAAAACAGGGCACTAAGTTTAGTAGCTCCGTAGCCTCAGCACAGCTCATGGGAGAACAGATTATCCTCTTTCTCATTTTCTTTGTTACATTTCTTTAGCATCCATCTGAGATATTCAGGCAGAGTTCTGGGGAGTGAACTTGTATTTAGAAACTATGGGTCACAATACCTGGGAACTACGGCTGGCACAATGAAGCAAACCGGTGAGATTCAGGGTGTTGGTCGTACTCCAGTAAGCAGACCCTGAATATAACATGCAGCTATCTGTATACATGAGGTAAAGACAAGAACCTAAGGTATATCAACTTACCATCATCACTAGATACCATCATCACTATATGCAGTGCAAAAATGGAAAATGGCCCCCTGATGTGTTTTCCCCACACTGTCACTCCCCTAAAGCACAGGTTAATCCTGTAGCATAATTGCAATTCTAAAACCTTAAATTAGAAGATCCATTTTTTACAACATCCCTCACAAGGACAGTTACTATAATTTTGTGTGTGTTGAAAAATCTGACTGATGTGATGAGCACATCAAGGTTTTATTAGGGAACCACTCTCTTTGTTTTGTATTAGTAATCATGTTTAATATGATGAGGTTAGAATGGTATCCTGGGGACTTAGGAAAATGTGCAAAGCCCAAGAGACTTCTCAGGAAAGAGACATTCTGTGTTTGCAGGTTGGGTCTGTTGACTTCATTTAGGCTCCCTAGGACTGCGAGGTTGTTGCTAGATTGGGGTCAGTGTGCTGAGCACATTTCAGGACCCAAAGCAAGAGCAAAAAAATATTGTACTAGTTGTTTTTTTTTAATTCAAACTTCTGAGTAGGCTATTTGCTTTCTGCTGCCAGAAAAGATGGGTCTTTGTATTCCCCCTGCACTGATCTGTGGGCTGTGCAATTTCTAGATAACTCTTCATTCTGTGCACTTCTTTTGCAGCCTCAGGGGAAAGAATGTCATTAACTTGATGGACTTTGCTGAAGAACTTACGAGAGGTTACAAATATAATCTTTTCTTTTGGTAAAAAATCATGAAGTGTTCTCACATAGTGAAAAAGCTGACGTCTTTTCCTTATAGGTTATGTTGGGCAATCTGCTAGAGACAAGACGCATCACTGTGGAATGCTTTTGATTTTGCTCTGATGCCCATTCTTTTCCTTGGCTTCGTGTGGCCCCAGACCAGCATGCTTCCTGTAAAAACCATATGCCAGAGGCTACTCTCGCCCTGATCAGTTCCCTTCTTTCACCTGAAGAGTATTTAATGACACAGCAAGCACTCTTTGGCCATGTCTTTAAACAGTAAATGGGTCACTGTTCCATAAAATTAACAGCACAAATGTATATTGTGTTTCTGACAAAAAAAAAAAGTAAATCTAAAAAATACTCCAAAGAACAGTGGGGAGTTTTTCATGAGTGGGTGCAAGTGCCTGCATTGATGATACTGCCTTAATTCCATCTTTAGAGCTGAGGGAGTTGTACAGGACTTAATTACATCTTGCTCACTGCTCTTCCAATAGTCTAAAACTGGTTGATGTACTGACTTGAGCACTATAGCTGGAACTCAAAATTGCACAGAGGAAAGGCCAGTATTAGTAAAAAATATAGTCTCCATAGTTGCAGGAAGCAGCAGAAAATGAGCTACGACTCCTGTTAGAGTCTAACTAGGAATGTGCTGCTGCTGCTGCTGTTGCTGTTGTTATTATTCTCCTGTGGGTGAGGACACCTACTTTGGAAGCTGTTCTCTAAACAGCTTCTCCAAAACGCATTTCTTTTTGGTAGTGTTTGAGCATTTACATGATCATGAAAATATTTTCATTCTCTTTTGACCATCTCATAACAC